CCACCGGCCCCCGGCCCCCGCCCCGGCCCCCTCCCCGCCACTGCTCACACCCCGCTTCCACCCCAGCCACCCAGGGGAGCAGCCACGCGGGGAGGGGAAGGGGAGCGCGTCCCGCCGGCTGGCCCTACACCGCCGCGTCCGCAGATGAAGTGGGGGGCCCGGGTTACCCGGCCTCCGGAGGGAGCCACCTGGGTGCCCCTTTGGTGGGGGGCTCCGGCCAGGCCATTGTGTGTGTGTGTGGGGGTCGAGGCCCGGCCATGTGGGGGGCAGGAGGGGAGGCCTGGGGGGTGCCCCTGCCCTGCCATAGCTTCGCAGTCCCGGTCGCTGCCGCCCTTGGGGCGCCTGTGTTGTGTTCGCCGTGTGCACCCCGTGTACCAAATAGCCTAACAACAAATAAACGGTAGAGACATCGCTGTGCCGCCTCCTCCCTCGCTGCCGGGCACCCTGGGACCGTGCCCTTCCCCATCCCGGGTTGCCCCGTCCCTCCTCCGGCTCTGGGCACCACCCGCAGCCGGTTGCGCTCATCCATGCAATGAGCTGTGCCTGGTCTCAGCTCACCCACACCCATCGTGAGGCTCTGAGAGCCGGTGGGGGGTGGTGGGGGGGTGGCTGGGCTCTCCCTACGGGCCGTGGGGCGGGTGAGGAGCCCCTGTGAAGTCCCTGTGTCCCCCCGACCTTTCCCGGCCGCGGTGCTCGGCGCTGCGCAGGCGCCCGCTGGGCCCCCTCCCGCCCGCGCAGGGGCACCGCCTGTCCCTCCGCGGCACTCGTAGAGGCCGTGCGGCCAAAGCCCGCCTCCTCGGGGGCGGTGCCGCGTTTTGATTGGTGCACCTTCCCGCCCGTCTGCGCCGCCGTTCTCCGGCCTCGGCTCCTATTAGCTGTTCTGAGGACTGGGCGCTCTGAATGGCTGGATTGGGCGTAGGCCCCGCCCTCTCGGCTGACACGGGAAGTGAAGATGGCGGCGGCGGCGGCGATAGCGGCGGATGAAGCAGGTACCGGCGGCACCCGGGTGCCCGGGGCTCGCTCGTTCTCCTCCAGCCCCGGTCCGGGGAGCCGGGTCGGTGCTGAGCGCTCTCCCCGCAGAGCGGGCGCGGGGCCGGCGGGCCGCCCTGTCCTTCGCGGCCATCGCTGTGGTGTTGGGGCTGCCGCTGTGGTGGAGGACGACCGAGACCTACCGCGCCGCCCTGCCCTATGGGGACATCGAGGGGCTGGGACAGCTGCCGGTGAGCACCGGGAGGGGGGCCGGGGGCCCTAGGTCCTCGGGGGACGACGACACCGGGCTGACGCTGTCTCCGCTCAGTTCCAGCTGGCGGTCCCCGTCGCCGTGGTCTTCGCCCCGGGGTCGGTGCCCGGGGACCTGCCGAGGCCGCTGCCGTTCAGGGACGTGCAGGAGATGGAGATTTCCGTGAACCGTGAGAGACATCTCTAGCTGTCACTGCCCTGTCCGTCTGTCCGTCCCTCCTGGGTGGCCTCATGCTTCACCGGGGGGGTCCCTACGTCCCCACGGCTTTTCTCCCCGGCTGTCAGCCCGGAGCTCCCCGGACACCCACCCCATGTTCGCCAGTATCATCCTGTCCTGAGCTGGCGGTACAGCGGAGCATTGGGGACAACAAGTTCCCAGGGATGCCGCAGGGAAGAAACCGGCTCCCCTCCCTGGGAATGGGGGTGATGGCAGCCCTCGGAGGGGGGGATGTGCCCGCCAGTGTGGACCAGCTGAGGCCACGTGTCATGGTGGGTCACTCAGCTGAGGTTAGAGCTGGTGCCCAAAGGACCTTGTGGCATGTGTCTCCCTGGGGCTGTCCCTTGTCCCTCTTAGCACCTGGCTCTTACAAAGGGTGCAAGGGCTGGGATTAGCAGATTCACTCAGGTTTTCTCCCCTGGCAGTGAGACCCAGCATCACGTCCCGCTACGAGACGGTCTATCGCAGGACCACAGCTCAGGAGGAGGCAGCGCTGGATGTGGCTACTGCACGAGGTACCGGGACGAGGGATTGCGGTTAGCTGGAGTAGCTCTGTGGCAGAGCAGGCTCCTCTTTCTGAAGCTGGTTGAGCAAAGGACTTGGCTTCACTGCATCTCAGGGTGGGACGAGGATTGGAGTGAAATTCCCAACCCTGCTAATGCCTCCATTTTCCCTAGAGGCTGATGCTGCTCTGCACCCGCTGCAGGACGCCTTGTTGGGCTCTCTGACCATGTACGTGGTCCCCGAAACCTCCTCTCTCCTGCCTCAGGTAGGGAGCAGCACCCTGCGGTGCCAGCCTCTGCACGCTTCACCCCTCGAAGGTGCCCTGGGAGGAGGCACCAGACGTTGCGTCCCCAGGTTGTCACAGGTGGCACCGTGCTGTTCTTTGGCGCGTTGACAGGAGCCAGCCTTGCTCCTGGCCCTCACCCCTGCCCCTTCCCCAGGGCATCAACGTCTACGTGGGGAAGCACCGCAGCGCCCTGGTGAGGGCTGGGGGGGGCCTGGCTGCCCTCCGCACCCGCCTCCAGCAGCTCACGCAGGTGATGTCCTTCACGGCCAGCTCCATCTCCGCCGCCCTCTCGGACCGTGTGCCCAATGGCCAGCTGGGCCCTGATGCCCGGCGGCACTTGAAATCCAGCCTGGGTATGGATGTGCACCCCAGCCCCATTCTCTGACCTGGGGAAAGCCCTCTGTCTCTGGGGGGAGATCCCGTTCCTGCTGTACTTTTAGCATCCCTGGATGTCTTCTGGGGTGACAGACCCCGGGGTCTTCCCTTTGCCCTTGGCAGTTGCTCTGGGCCAAGATCCGTGCTGCGGTTGCTGCGTGTTGGGGCACTGGTGTGTGGCCCTGCACTGGGGAGGGCCAGGGAGGAGGGGGTCAGGTCCTGCCACTCTTGGGAGCTCTGTCATGGCCACGTGCCCAGCCTCAGCATCAACAGGCAGTAGCTGTGCCAGTGCCTCACAGACTGTGTGTCCTCGGCAGGGTATGAGATCACCTTCAGCCTGCTGAACCCTGACCCCAAGTCCCATGCCGTGGACTGGGATATTGAGGATGCCGTGAACCGCTACGTGCAGCCCGTCCTGGACAAACTGAGCTTGGTGGCCAACTTCTCTGTTGACTCACAGGTGAGGACTGGGAGAGGCGATGGGGAGAGCCCAGCCCTGGGCCTTGCCAGGTGCCCCGAGACGCGCTTTTCTGCCAGCAACGTCTTTGTTGTGTGCCTGCAGATCCTGTACTACGCCGTCCTAGGAGTGACACCACGCTTTGACAAGGAGTCCTCCAGCTTCCTCTTGAGTGCTCACAGCCTCCCGCACGTCATCAACCCTGTGGAGGCCCGGCTGGGTGAGCGCTGCGCTCCTGACCTGGCTCTTGTGGGACCGGGCTCTGCTGAGGGAGGAGGGGACAGCTGTGCCTGGGGCCTGTGCCCCTTCCCTCCCTGCAGCACCATGCCCTGCCAGCCCCGGGTGGGAGGGAGGGTGACTGAGACCTGCTGGGCTGGCAGTTCTGCTCAGGGCTTGCTGTGGAAGGAGGAGCTGGGCTGGGCTCTGCCTCAGCACTGCGCACGGGTGGTCTGCTCTCGCTGTCCCTGCCAGCCAGGGGAGTTCTTTGACTCTGTCCCGCTGCAGGCTCCAGCGCTGCCTCACTCTACCCCGTGCTGAACTTCCTGCTGTACGTGCCAGAGCGCTCCCACTCCCCTCTGTACATCCAGGACAAAGATGGAGCCCCAGTGAGCACCAATGCCTTCCACAGCCCCCGCTGGGGTGGCATCATGGTAAGGGGCCATGGGGGTGCTGGCAGTGCCCAGACAAGGCGGTGGCTTCACATCCCCAGCGAGTGCTGGTGGCCCTGCCAGCCCTGGGGCTCCGGCTGTGCCTGGCTGACACGCTCTCCTGCAGGTTTACAATGTTGAAGCCCCTGCTTCCCCCCAAGTCTCCCTCCCGCTGCACGTGGACGTGGACATGGTGCGAGTGATGGAGGTTTTCCTGGCCCAGCTCCGGTGAGGATGCTCTCTTCCCTCCCCGGGCCTCTGTGTGCTCTCCTGGCACACGTGGAAATCATGGGGGGGTCAGAGCAGGCTGTACCCCTGCAGTTTGTTCGCTTCTCTGTGGGCTCTGGGAGGCTGAGAGGGGCTTTTTGTGGCTTTTGAGATGCTGACTACTGGCCAGCACTGCTCTCTGGCCAGGGGTGCTGGCGCATCTCCCATCTCCTGAGGTAGGCGGCTTGTCTTGTCCTGCCCTGCATCCAGGAGGCCGTTAGGCATGGTTGAGCCCTGTGAAGACTGAATGCAGCAGGGAAGGGGAAGAGCAGGGAGTGTATGTGGGACTGCAGGTTTGCGATGTGGGCTGGGACCTTCCCCTCTACTCCCAGGTTACTCTTTGGGTTATCTCGGGAGGAGCTGCCCCCCGATTTCCTGCTGGAGAGCCCAGGGAATGAGGGGCTGGCCGACTGGGAGCTGGACCGCCTGCTCTGGGCCCACACTGTGGAGAACATCGCCACTGTGTCCACCACCTTGACTTCACTGGCCCAGCTCTTGGACAAGATCGGGAACATAGTCATCAAAGATGATGTCGCCTCTGAGGTAGGGCTGGGGCACTCTGAGGTGGGGAGCGGAGGGGGACCATTGCTGGGAGCAAAGCCCCCAGGCTGTTCCTGTGGTCCTCCCTGGCCGGGGACTGACCGTTGGCGTTGTTCCCACACAGGTGTACCAAGCGGTGGCCTCAGCGCAGAGTGCCATGGCCGAGCTGGCTGCGGGCCACCTCCACTTGGCTTTCCAGGCCAGCAAGGAGGCAGTCACCTCCTCGGAGCGGGCCTTCTTTGACCCATCTCTCCTCCATCTCCTCTACTTTCCTGATGACCAGAAA